TCCAGTAGAGAGGGTCGGCATGGAAACTAGTCCTTTCCATTCGCCCTACAGTACGGCTCAAGATCTAGATCCTTTCAGACCACTTGTATAACGGGAATATTTAAAGATAGATTGGCTCGGAAACTAGTACTTTCCGACTGATCACAAATTACTTTATAGCCTTTACATATGACCACAAAGCCTGAAGTGAAGTTGCGACTTGGAATAAAGTCCACAGCAATGGTACAGGAAGTGCGGCTCTGGAACTCGTCCTTTCGGGCCGCCCACCTAAACAGTACCCAACATTCGGGCTGCTCGGGATCCCGTCCATTCCGACAGCCACGGTCACACTTATAATTTAATTTAATATAATTAATAAAATTACCTTGTTTAAATGTATATATATTTGTACAGGATAAATGTTAGGATAGTCCTCTCAAAAAAATGTGTAAGAACAAAATATGTAGTGAAATAAGAATATTGTTTTCATGTATGATTGTGGATCCTGTGATGTAATGTATGCATATATCAATATAAAAACTATAAACCCAAAATTGTACCAAATAAAATAGTAAGCAAATATTGTAAATTTTCAGACTTGTTATAGGCCTTTAAAGGCTGTCAATAAATGAATAAATAAATAAAAATATATACATAGATGTAGATACATACAGTATTGGACATATCTATAGCACCCCCCTTTCAAAGCGATATTGTTTGCCACTTATGCTTAATTATTTGTTTCTAAGAATTTTCAATTAAAATACAGTTCATTTTCCAACAAATCCCATATAAACCAATGTTTTAAACTTTTTAAAAGGCCGCAAAAAAGTGCAACAAACTTTCCCTTATATTTCAAACTTTTTTCTCAGAAGCTCTAGAATTCTAAAAAATCAACGGTAATTTTGAGCCACTTGAAACTTGCACATTATTAGACTAAAATTGAATGGGCTATAAAACTGTGTATTCAAAAAAATTCTACCGCTTCTGAGAAAAAAGTTTGATATTTGGGTGAAAATTTGTTGCACTTTTTTGCGGTCTTTTAAAAAGTTTTAAAGTTGAGTTTATGTGAGTTTTGTGAGAGAATGAACTGTATTTTAATTGAAAAGTCTTAAAAACAAATAAATAAACATGAGTGGCAAACAATATCACTTTGAAATGGGGGTGCTATTGTATTGGCCAATACTGTATGTATGCATACATGTGTATGAAAGTGTATATGTATGTAGGTGCCGAAGTAGCTACCGGATGCATTTTACAGATGTTTTCATAAAATTTATTATTGTTTATTACTGTTCATTAGATATGTACATACATATGTATGTAAACACATACATGCATATACATACATACATATTTATAAACTTTTTCCTAATTTTTCATTATAGTGATACTGGCTTCAGCATAATACATAGCTGTTACTTGGCAACACGTTCAAGACGCTGGATCGCCTTGGAATGCTAAACGTTAATACCAAATAACTGATAAGCGCCCGTCCAATCCAGAAATACTACTAGTACAACGCACAAGCATGCATAAGTACGTACCAGTGATCGGACTTATACCACATTGTGGTAGATCTGCCGCTTTTTTGAGCATCTACCACATCTACCACTCAGGGTCTGAAATCTACCACATATTCGCGTTTTTGAGTAGTTTTATTTTTGCTTGACATAATTTTCTTAATTTTACACGATATGGTAACAAGAATGATATAATAAAAGATTCCGCATTCCCGGCGACCCTGAAATTTCTCAAGTAAAAGTAAACAAAGCCTCCCATAAAACAAACTGTAAAATAGTAAATTTTCTCAATAATCAATTTTTCGACAGGAAACGTGATTTTATTGTGTGAAATTGCAGAATATATGATTTGTAAAAGGAATTAATAGCGAAAATGTTAAAAAACGGTGATTTTGGTAAAAGTATTAGCAAATTTAAGTGCATCTCAAGTTTCTGAGGCGTTGTTTACATTTAGTTGAGAATTGTCAAAATCGGTAAATCCCAATTAGCTGTTTCTGGAACGTGCCAGATTTGTTCGCCACTTCGTGATGTGATAAAAAGAAAAGCTGGTAGCATTCCCTCCGCAAGGTTGCAATAATCTCCTAAAATATGTTCGAAAAATATCTTAATATGGAAGGAACTGCTTTACACTGTGAAGGAGAAAAATTGCCAAAACTCAACGCAATTTTTAGCAACTTCAATTTTGCATTTTATTATACTACAATTAAATTTTTTTAGAGTCTAATTAAAAAGTTTGCCATTTAGGTGAAACCTTCAGAATTTTTTTTAATTCTTGTACAAAGTTTGATCCAAACCCAGAGATCTAGTACCACATTTTTTTGAAATCTACCACATCTTTTCCCAGATTCTACCACACAGAATTTTTTTGAAGTCCCATCACTGGTATGTACACACATAAATACATATTATGTACTTATGTACATATGTACATACATACATATATGAATTTCACAGAGCTTTACGTTATCACTTTGAAATGTAGAAATGAAAAATAATTGCGCGAAACGCGATAAAAACACCTAAACAAAACAAATAAATAAAAACTGTATAAGTAACGAATGAGGAAAAATAAATAGAACGAAATTATAAGTATACATAAATATATTCGCACGTCGTTGAATTCATGTACATACCCTGTGGGTAAAATCTCTAATTCTGAACTAGTGCGCTTCTAGTACACTTAGACCCACTACTGGTTCGCGATAAATCTCATTTGCATGCAAACAACCAGGGAATTTAAAACGGCTATGCCCTAGGAAGTGGAAATTGTCCCCCGCGGCATTCCTTTTTGTATGTAGTTCCGAACCAGTTGTAAATTCGTCAACTAAGATGTCAAAGTAATTGGTTTTTTTTTTTTGTTTAAGTGGACTTCTAGCTAGCGAAATGTACAGTTGTTCACAAAATAATAGGAGTGCGATATTTTGACCAGTTTTGGCTATTTGTCTTTTGTTTTTTTTAATGTTTATTATTTTTCTATAAAATTTTCACCCAAATTTCAAATTTTTAATTCTAGTGCAATGAAGTGTAAGTTTCATGTTGCTGAAAAATTCCGTTGATTTTCGGCACTTTTTTTCTGGCAGTGTCCTCCATATAAAAGAAAATTGTCGAACGTATGTTTGTTTGAAAAAAACGTGAAACTCCTTCAACCAAAAAATATCTAAAAAATCAATGGGATTTTTTAAAAACTTAAAGCTTTCACTTTATATATGGGCTACAAAATTGCATACCACAATTTTTTCTAAAGATTCTTATTAAAAAGTTTGAAGCTTGGCTATCTAAATTTTTCTTAATTTTTGTGCAAAGTTTGACTTTTATAAAAGAATAATAAACAATAAATAAACAAAAGACAAGTAGTCGAAACTGTTAAAAATATCGCACACCTATTATTTTGTGGACAACTGTAGTTCTACCAAGTAAAATAAAAAAAAGTCTTTTAAAAATATCACATGTCGCTGCTTTTGAACTGGAGGAGATCTAGTTGCTATCGGACTGGTTCGTTTTTGGCGATAAAGATCTAGTACGGAACTAGAAATTGAGTTCACTAGTTCCGGGTTTCCCTGCAGCGAAGAGTGTATATATGTATAAATGTATATGTGAGAATCAGTGTGAGTGAACAAAGTAGGTTTGAAAAGATATTCAATTAAACCGACACACAGTACGAAGAAGAGACAACAACGCGATAAACACAAAGGCACTCCGCCGTCAGTAGCACAAACAAGCCAACACATCGCAACCAATTAGCGGGAGCTAGTAACTTTTCTGTGCCGCGAAGTGAAGTGAAAAACTGAAGATAATTTATTGAATTTAATATAATTTTTGTAATTTATGAAAGCGAAATGATTTCTAATGCGGGATAATGAAGCGAAAAACAAGTCAAGTTCGGCCCTAAACCCCTCGAATACTTTTTGAACATCAATACAATCATATATATATATATATGTATACAAGTGTACAAACATAAATGAAATTGGTAACAAGAACGAAATAATACCAATAAAATGTCCGCAACAGCGGGATTATTAGTGGCCGCCATCTCCAAAATCTCTCCAACGCGAGACGCCACTTTGCCGACGTCACAGCAGAAACGTTCCAGCATCATCACTTCTGATCCTAGCAGAGCACAGGTGAACGGCATCACAGAGCTCAGCTGTCGTATCAGTCGCAGCAGCTCTCAACAGAATCTCGAAACAGATAGTGGAAAGAGTTCGTGTAGCCCTGGGTTACTCGACTACAGCTACGAAAACGGTACAGGTGTGGAGGCTAACGGTGCTGCTCCTAGCGGCGCTAACACAAGAGGCGGATTAGCTGAAGGCACTTTGAGAGAGAAGCGATTGTGTGCAACAAATTCTAACAGTGAAGCCGCCGCTTCCGACAGCATGAGTACCGTTAGCTCCATTGGTATCGGCACTGGAATTAGTTGCAACGCAGAAGAAGAAATGCGTCAAAAACTGCGATTCGATCGCCTGCACAAATTCCGCCTGATTCTGCTAGCATTAGATCGACAGAGAGATCCACATCGACTGTTGCGAGAGCGCCTGAGGTGAGTAAAATTTTCTCTTAATTGATATTTTCGTATTTTTACATATCGTCACTTGAAATGCAAAAGGCCGGAAGTAACAATAATTTTGTTTGTGCATAAAACTATGTGGAATGCAGATCGATGAAATGCACAACAATCAATCAAGTGAATTTTAGACTTTTTGTTAGCTACGACCTTTTGCATTTCAGGTGACGATATGTACCAATGGATGTACATGTGCACACATGTATGTATATATGTATGCAGGTAGCTTATACCTACGGTGACCATCCGTCCTGTATTATACGGGACAGTCCCCATTTTTGACCCATTGTTCTGGTAATTTATTTATTTTATACGGGACGCCAAAGGTTCTGTATTTCTTTTAATGTCCTGTATTTGCCCCGTATTCGGTGTTCCGACGCCTTAAGAGCTCATTAAAATGGCATACCTATGAACGAGTTTTAAGTGATGTTGGTATATGATCGTAATTTTCTTTATCGAATCCTCGAATCGAGGAATGCATACACTGGCCAAAATAGAAACTAGGACTCGACAGTTTAGTAAGTTTTGGCTATTTTTCCTTAGTTTATTTAATGTTTATTATTTTTTTATGAAAGTAAAGCTCTTTTCCTAAAAAAACCATATAATACCAAATTTCCAAACTTTTCAACTAGAAAAAAATTTGGTTTGCAGTTTTGTAACTCATTAAAATTGAGTATAATAAAGGCGAGTGGAAAGTGCTGCTCATTTGCTTCTCTTTCAAAAAATGTCGAACATACTTTGTATGAAAAAAATGCGTAACACCGTCAACAAACAAAAATTGCCATAATTGCACTTTATTATACTAAAATTTAACGAACTTTTTTAACAAATTTTACGGGGTAAAAATCTCGAGAAAATTGTCCTACAAATTTGTGATGTTACTATTTATAAGGATACTGTTTCAGGGAAAACAGTGTGGAAAAAATTTTAAAAATTATTTTTTGTCCCGTATTCGGCTCCCATAAATATGGTTACCGTACTTATGCCACATAAAACACATCTATAGATATTTCGGAGCCGTAACTTCAAAACCTTAGATTTTACAAGGAAGTGTTCATATACATACATTTACATATGTACATTACGATAAGCATAGGCTTGCAAGTGACATGATTTTTAATTGTATTTGTTCGGCGCATTCTTAGATTACCCAAAAGCTGTGAAGTAACTACAAAAACAAGCACATTGGCACCATCATAGGTTATTTTTTTAGTCCTAAAAATATTAATAAATATGTGTAAACTAAATGGTTCCATTTGAAAAGACAATCTTAACTAATAGCAAAATATTAATTTAGTTTAGTAAAAAGAGTCGAGTACTGACCTTACATTTTATTGGCATGTTTTCATACAAATAGACGAATATTAACAGGAAATATGACTGCTTTTTTCTTACCACGAAACTATGTAAAACAGGTGTATAAAAAATTGAAAAATTTAAAATGTGAACTATGTAAATACATATCGTCGCCCTTATGCCAGATATATGAATGTGCAAATTTACCAATTTTAATTATTGGATTGCCTTGATTAACCCTTGGATGTTCTATGTTAAACCCATACCCAGAATAC